CACAATATTACAAATTTGTCGCTATCCTTCTTTCGTCCGTCCTTTATCGCTCTCACAACTCAGCTGTTTCGAGAAGCCCGTGCCGTGCTCTGGCCAGTCAAATAACAAACTTCTTTCCTTTTTGAAGAGTCTCTTCACGTACTACTTGCTTTCGCTACGGCAGCCTTGGTAAGCCTTTCAGGAGTCCTGTAGGCAGCTGGATTTTCTAGTGCACGCGTTTTCGGCCAGCGCCTGTAGGTGCTTTCTTCCGCCTCAGAGCTCGCACAACTTTATCGTTCCAGAACATGCTTCCTTCTTTCCCCGAAATCCACCTCGAGTCTCCTTAGCGCTTTCCTCGCACACTACAGGATGTTCTTCACGCGGTGTCGCTCCAGGTCTGGTGATCGACCCTTCGGGGTATGAAGATCTGCTTTCACTATCATTCGTTTGATGTCTCCTTTTTCGGCTTGATGCTCTTACACCGCTGCCTTCCGTTGTTGTCCTTGATTCCTCAAAAAGCTAGATAGCCATTTCTGCTAGCGGAGGTCTGTGCTGTGTAACTAGATATTCTCTAAGTTCTTCGGTGTCCTCTACAGCTCAAGGGAACGACCTTCTTAATAGCACTCGGGTATATCATCGATTGCTTCCCTCCACTCGAGCGAGTGATCTTCAGAGCCCTGAGTAACCTTTCCGCTAAGATGTGTTCCTCGGGCTGCTAAGTCGTGGCTGTGGCTATGTCGGAGTCCCTCTCTGCCTCTTGCTACCTGGATCCTATTCCTTTACCTCCATGTACACTTTCTACCCCCCTTCCCCCTTTCACTGCCGGCCTGGTCTTAAGATGGTGAGAGTCTCGTTCCTTTTGATGTGGTAGCATCGTAGAGGCTAAGTTGGATTTCATGTTTTCACACTCGGGCGTCCGCTTTGTGGCGCGAGCACCAATATTATTGTTCAGCACCTCTCTTTTGTGTCTGGTCTTACAGAAATGATTTGCCCGCTGACTTTCTTTACAAAGGAGACAGAATAGAGTGCACAGGTCGAAGACAGCATTTCTTTTGTTGTCTTCTCCGTTGTAGTAGAGTTTAACACCCTCCTGCTTTCTCTAGCTTGTGCACCTTTTCAGCATGTCTCCTGAAGGAATAGGGCTTGAATGTTACTGACCAGGGAAGGATCCCAAGTTGAAGTGGCCATTTGAAATGAGATCTACACTGCTGGACGTGTTTTTGGATGCTGAAATCAAATCTGCCCTCCGAATTTGCCGAGCGTTTCTCTAAACAGAGTCATGAGGGTGGTTTCAGGAAGCTTAACATGAGAAAACTTAAATTACATGGATGTACCTCATCTCTCAATGGCGGCTTGGAGTAGCGGTAAGCGTGACACTTCATGGGCGAGAGACTAGAGTTCGGGTTTTTTGGGTGACAGAATTTTTGCATTATATAGCATTTTCCACTTGAAGACTAGAAAATACTCTCACGGTGATTTTATCACGCTCTATGATTTTTTGATGCTTTGCCGATACCTTCTCCTACCTACCTACCTGTTACCGAGTAGGAGACTCCTCCGTGCGCAAAATTTTGAGGTGCGGACGAGTAAAATGCATATGATGAGCTATGATGATGCTAGAGTGGGTGTTGATGCTAGATTGGGTGCGATGGTGCATTGCAGCTCCAGACTAACAACACTTTCACTAATGATATTTGAGTCATGGACATCATTCAAAGACCGGAAAGCCATTCAATGCGTCTTACCTACACAAAGGTGGGTGAAGTGAATGACACCCTACTCGAGGCTACCACGAGGATGATACAGCTGATAGAAGCTCATTTCTCATCTCCTTTTAAAAATGTGGATAAATGCACCACTTCGTATGAAATAGCTCACGCTCTCAACTTTTGCATGTACACACGAGAACCCCATTCGCGTACTATCGCTCGTCTACTTTAAGTTCTATGCTATACAATTTAGGAAATTTCTCTTTTATGATTTTGGGACGCCTACACAATTTTGTTTTCTATCTGATTTGGGGTTAGTGAGCGTAAAACGATGGGCTGTGACGAGATCTTTTTCATCCGTTGCTCCCATTGTGGGAAGCTTCTTTATTTCAAGCATTTCGCGAGCTAGTATCATATTTGCTCATAGAACGGCAAACGTGTTCCTACAGTGAATGTAGAGTGCATGGGCATGCCAGTAAAACTGATGCATTACATGTGGATAAATATTCGCAAAAGCATTAAAAGGTATAAAACGTGAAAAAATCACCATGAGGGTACTTCCTAGTTCTGGATGGAACAATTCTATATAATGCAAAAGCTCCGTCCCCCACAATACCCAAACCCTAGCCTCTCGCCCATGAAGCATCACGCTTACCACTACACCAAGCAGCCATTGAGAAGGGATGTACATCCATGAACTTTGAGTTTTCTCATGTCAAGCTCCCTAAAGTTACCCTCATAACTCCGTTCAGAGAAACGCTCGGTGAATTTGGAGAGCAGATTTAGACTCAGCATCCGAAAACACGTCCAGCAGTGTAGGTCTCATTTCAATGGCCAATTCGACTTGGGATCCTTCCCTGGTGAGCTTTATCGCGTAAGCTATCTGACGGGCTTCTCGGTAGGCGATACCACAATAAGTGTGAACCAACTGACTTTTTCGGTCGAGGCCGTTCACTCTTCAGTAGCCCTAGGTATTTATTGTCAACAGAACTCGGGAGGAGGAACTCCGCATCACTTTCGTGTGACGTCCTAGCTGTTATAATGACCAGTTAGGCTACGCACGCGTTCATTACCCAACCACATCCGCCTATCTGATGGTAAGAGCTCCTAGAAGATCAATATGTATGAACAGCATCTGAAGACTTATATTACAACTGCTTCCTCACCGCGCCCACGTGACATTTCACAATTCCCATCGCAACTGCGTTACCTTTCACGAACAGACACACAAACAGACACACTAAGTCGGCTCTCTATTTGTGAAGAGGTTCCTCTGGAGACCTCTGACATGTTTTTTTTGACGAGTCTTCTCCACCAGCGGGCCTATGAACCTGAGCCTATCGTCAATACCGGCACAATTCTTTGCAATTTTTCGGGAATAGTTTTCGTCTCAGTAGGAATTGAACTTAAGCTTTATCGGAGAGAACAAATATGAGCCTACACTCTTAACCCCTCGGCTACCTCTACATGGTAGAAATGATTAATTTCTAACCACAAAATTTTCGTAGGGAAATCCAATCAACTACTTGGCCACTACACTGACGCTGAGCGCCTACGAAACCTCCATCTGTTGCCTTTGACCATAACAAGGACCATCCACTATCAGTTTGATCCTTTTCTATACTGAGGCAACTGGACTGACGCTGACTTTCCTGTAACTGAACAACGTGGTTTGTCAACGCAGTATTGGATGAATGTCTTCGACGATGACGGCAGAGTTAGAATTTCATGCTCGTAAACCGAGAATGTTGATGAGATCGGATGAGTTTCGTCGTACCTAATAATGGAATAAAAAAGGCTGGTCTCTCATTGAATAGCTAAATTGGGTGTAGTCATTGCAGTTTGAGAGAAGAACAAGATACTGCTTTTTTCTTAAATGGTAGTCACTGGAATTTTTTTCTCATCATGGCGCCTGGACGAAATCTTGATCGGTGTTTGCTGTCAGCTTCTGTCACCCACCACTCATGATCTCGGCGACTACCGAATCACTGTTGCCATATTCCCAGTGTTAACACGAAGGACGCTACAGACTTATAGACTCAACAACTATGGATCCTTGCCAGCCCTC